GTGTTTTAGAAAAAAATCTCAAGGTATTGCCTGAATTTGTCGCGTGGTAAGTAAAGGTATATCTATACTTTGGTATCGCCTGAATATCTCGCGTGGTAGGTAAAATGATAGGTATGCAAGATGTAGGTAAACTATGTATGTTTCGTAGCAAATCTTTATCAAATATTTTATTTTAAACATTGAAGTCCATTAATCACAAACATCTGTAATGACCGACATTAATATCATTTTTGAGCCATTTGGTTATTAGGTATATAGATGGAGTTCAAACCTGGTTAACTATGTAGATGGTCACGGAGTTTTAGGTTATATTCTATTGCGTTTTTCAGTATGAAATGCTAACGAAATAGGGGCTGGTCCTGGTATAATGACAGGGCCTGCAGAAATAAATGGAAGTGATGTTTTTGCTGGTGACAAAGACAATTATACACAAACTCACACTCACGCACTCACAAGCGCATATGCTGCGAAGATGACCGAATTAAAATTATAAACAGTTTTATTTGGTCTTGAACTCATCGAACATATTGAATGTGCGTACGAGATTTCTGTTAAACAAAATCAAGTTAGATGCGGTATGGCCAAGAGAGTAACTCGTCAAGATGGCCGCGTGGGTTCAAACCCAGTTATGTGCAAGACTTTTTTACCGTAAGCAAACAACTTTATACTCGTTGCTTAGTACTGGTTGATTCTAGTTCCAGTGTTTAAATACGCCTAGAGCTTCCAATTCAAATTTACTAAAATAAATTCGTATAACCTAAAAATAATTAAGTTGATATTCAGATTATAGAACGCTTGTATTATGATTTAATATCTTTAATTGACATATAGAAAAGTATAATCGAATCAGTATCTACTGGCACAGCATTGCTCTAACGGAGGCCTAGCCTCCCACCCCTTAGTGTAACTGCAATAAGTGAAGAAGTTGTGATGCTAAAGGCATCCTCCCCTGGCATCACTCAAATCGCATTTTTATAGAAAGACCGCGATTTGGACTCACGTTTCTTGTTGATATAATCTGACGGGCTGATGTTTATACAACATGTCAGTCATTATATTATTTGAATATTGTTAGTTTGTTTACTAAATGTTTGTTAGTACAGCCAAAGCACGCACTTAATTTGCAACCAGCGAAGTGTTATGAACTCGTTGAATGATAATAAGGTGGTCATTCACACCAGAAGAGCATGAATAACCAACATGAATGGAAATCTTTGGCTGTTTTAGCAAGTATTCTGATAGCTGTCACATGAAACAAAAAATGTTTTAAAAGGTTCTTAAATAGACAGTGTTTCGCTGGCAATCAAACTTGTTTGCTTTAAATGTTATATTTCAAAGCATTCATACTATTGTTTTGTCACACATGTCACTTTTATTAGTAATATACATTTGAAAAACTGAAATTTCTAATAATTTCTAATGATGTCAATATACACGCTGCTGTGATATGTCTTATGTTTATGTATATAAGCCGCCAAAAATGCAATCACTGATAGTTGATTCCAGCACTTTTAAGTGTTAAAAACTGAGTACTGCTTACCTAAGCTAGGGCGTGAGAGATGTTATAATTGTACAGACTCAATCAAAACGGAGTCTGCAATTTTCATGTATCATAGCTTCTGAGGGACACCCCCTTGGACTACTTTTCTGCATATTGTGCATTTATTTCAAAGGCACCAAACTATCAGAAACGGAATACAGGATTTTACTGCACTAGATACCTTTTCAGGTGGATCACCGTTAATGATGGTGAGAGGTCGAAAGAACAATGTTGAAAACACGAACTCATTTCGAAAATAATTACATACAGGGAAACTATTAAAAATATTCAAGATGGAGTTACAGTTCACTCCCTCCCGCTGTTATCTATTTTTATTTAAAGTTTCACTGGAATCTCTAATAGCTCTACTTTCGCAGATTATCTCTTGACAAGGAAAATATAGCTTTGGCCTCTTAGTGTGACCTTGACCTTGGTAGGGGTCAGAGTGTCGCGCATGACTCATTGTCTTAATATGGTGAATATTTGTGCAAATTCATTACAAAATACTTTGATGCGTGTAAAAAGTTATGGATCTGACACAAAAAGGCATTATAACAGACCACTTAAAGCTTTGACCTCTAAGTGTGATCTTGACCTTGGAGTTAGGATTCTGGTTGTTGTGTATGACATGTGATCTTATTCTGATAAACGTGTGTGCCATATTATTTCAAAATCCTTCATGTAATTAAAAGGTTATGGATTGGTATCCGAATCAAACAATGTTGACTGTGTCTCGCAAGCACGTTGTCTTAAATAGTGAGCATGTGTGCCAAGTTATTTCAAATACCTTAATGGACAAAAAAGTTATAAACCGAACACGAATTGTACCATCCATCAGACAATGTTGACCTTTGATCTCCAAGTGGGACCACCGTGGAGTTCTGGTTGTTTCGCATGACAGGTCGTAATTTGGTGAACATATGTTATTTCAAAATCCCTTGATAAATAGATGAGTTACGGACTAGACAGACGGACGGAGCCTTTGTACATATCTCTATTTTACTTTAAAAAAGGCTTGAGACAAAAAATGTATACAAATGTGTTTAATCACCTAGGGACTTTTGGCATGAATTGTGGTCACCGACTAAGATGACTTCGTTTAAACAATTAATTTTAAAATTTGTAGCTAATCATTTCCTACATGATAGATACTTGCCTCAAGATTACACACATAATGATAAAATTTATTATCATAATACCAACAACTTATTGTTTTACATGAATTAAAATTTTGCGACATTTAACGGCAAACGATTTTGCGACATTTAGCGGCTGATGCAACATTTAGGGGTAATGGTGCAACATTAAGTGGTAAGTGTGACATTTAGCGGCGTTGCGACATATAACGGCGCCACATACATCTTGCGACATTTAACGGTAGTCAATTTTGTTTTGCATGAATTCCATGTTGCGACATTTGGCGGCAGTGTTGCGACATTTAACGGTAAGGGATAATCGTGCGACATTTAACGGCAAACGATTTTGCTACATTTAGCAGTGGTTGCGAGATTTAGCGGCAATGGTACGACAATTAGCGGTAAGTGCGACATTTAGCGGCGTTGCGACATATAACAAGTGTTTATAATGTCTCCCTTTTTAACTATTCTGTTTTACTATTTTATTCTACTGACCCAATGCTTATACCGGTATATTGATCAGTCATACGCGCAAGAAGAACGTGGATCCTAGTTTGTTTGTTTTGGTTGGTTGATTGGGTTGGTTGGTGATTGGTTGGCTAGGCTTTAAGTAGGACTTACACTCATTTTCATTTGGCCGTGTTTAGTTGAATGCGGTCTCAGGAGCCTCTCCGTGCATTATTTTATGCACAGGCGGACTCTTGAGTAGAACCATAAAAGAGTCCAAAGTCTCAGGCCGGATTCGAACCCACAGCGGTAAGGAGCAAGTGGTTTGAAGTCACCTGAGTTACAAGACTACAGAATATAACGAGCTTGTTGCTGCACGCCTATAGTTTATGGTACTTTTACTGTTTCATATTTTGTTACCTACAAAGCAACAGTTTTAAAGTTTGTCATAGACCCGTCAATTTTGTGCGTCCATACTGTAATGATGCATTTATGCAGAAATTTTCTTTTGGTATAATGCTGACAATGCTGAAAGAAGACGTTGATTTTCGCGTATCAAGTACCCCGAGCCATTCTAATCGTCCATATCCGAGGTTTGACGGAAAGGGCCCGTGCAATTCTAGTCAGAAATGCATTATGTTGTGTGAAACAAAAAAATGTGGCATTTTATGGACACTTTAAGTGTCTTGTAATTACAGAATATGACTACAGGTGTTTGATTGGTCACTCCAAAAAGCAAAAACATAAAAGATAAAACAAAACCAGAAGTTACATATATATTTAGTATAATTTATAACTTGTTTTTAAGGGACTCCACTGAGGTTTTTTGTTTGTTTGACATGATGGGACTAAAAATATTTTTCCAGATAAATGTACTATTTGAAGTAGGTTTAGACCACTAATCTTAATGCAAAATTTCAGATTATTCGCGCACTTCGTTTTTCCAGAACAATTATTCAAATTGTAAGAAAATGACCCAAAATGAAAAGCGTTTAAACCTAGCTCATTTATGTAAGAAATTCATATGTTTTGTTTTTTGGATTTTAAACCTTATTTGAGTCCCTTTAAGTAGTGACCAATCAATATCTCGAACACAGTCCTGTGAATTTGACGGTACATGTATGATGGGTTTTCAAGCCCTACAACTGCTCGTGTGTGTTTTTGAGCTTATTTATACTCGCCACCGGTTGTCCAATATGGGCAAGTCCTCCAGAAAAGTGTTCATCAGTTTAGATTTTTTGGAAAAATAGTGCAAGATACAGATACAGAAAGATGCCCAAATTCCAGAAATTTAGCGTGCCAAGTGTTTAAGCACCCTACACGGGACCTCGATTTAAAGTCTCATCCGAAAGACTGATTCGTAATTTTAGTTGGCCAGCCCTTGAATCGAACCCACAATGTCGAGATTACAAGTCTCGCACTTCTACCGATTGAGCCATGTGGGCTGGCATTCTCTCTACAACTGCAAGGTATTGCCAGTCTATTTAAATACCGTGCATAACATGTACGAGGGTTGTTCATAAATAAAATGGTCACCTTGCATTTTAAGATTCCTTTCGTTTTTTTAAGTAAATGAATTAATTGTTATTATTATATAGGTATTCGCGCGTTGTTCTGCTTTTGAATTACCATGGTAACATGCGCTCAAGGCGATGCACTGGTAAAAGTTTTATTGTTATTCATCGTCTTCATTTTTTATACCCAAATAGTAAATTTCACAATAGACCGTCTTGCAAAAAGGTGAAGCGTGTTTGTTTTGTAATAAAATAATTTTCCATCAATAATCATGGAAAATAAAGAAAAATAAGGCAAGCGATATAGAAGAAAATCAACCTTAATTGTTTTAATAAATAAATAAATTAACACAAACAAAAAAATATGGTGTATCCTTTTCAAATTTATTTCGAGTGAATAATTCAATTGAATGTTAATGTACAACCATTAGAAGAACATGTTATTTTCTTCCGGGAAACACTGGAAAACGAGAGCAGATACATCTGTTGTCATAACAATGGCGGTCGTCATACGGGCATTCAAGAACTACTTCTGGTACTTTACACTCAGCAGGGTAGTTACAAACTGTAAAACACAAAACGATTCGTTCACTATAAATAATGAAATACATTTAGGTATCAACAAACATGTATAAAAAAATATAACCTGGGAATATTCGGATGGAGGTTTTTGTTTATTTAATACCGAGATCAGAGAAGACAAGAAAGTGAACACACTCTGTTACAGAAAAATCGTACAGCGACTAAGCATTTATCTTTTATTTACTTAATAAGTTGGTAACTTCGGTCAGATCGCCATTTTTGATGACGTGTCGTGTGTGTTCATGTTAAGAAACTCGGGAAATGAAAAAAGTATTGTCTTCTGTTCCTAATCCGTCAATGAAACTCGTCTTTTAACAACAAATGACGCAATCGCATCATCTTGGCCCTTGAATAAGAACCTCGAACACAAGAGCATACACAGAACGGATACTGTATTTAGGTCTAACCTGCGCTAAGAATTTAAACATGTAAACAAATAGTAATTTAATTATAGGAGTTGAAGACAAAATGATACCAATCTAGAGATTAAAAGTCTACCTTAGTTTAGTAAATTTACAGATATGACAGTAAACTACGAAAGACCGGTATGGACATTTCAGCTTCATGAATTCCCGATTTGAACTTCATGAATTCACGATTTGAATTTCACGAATTCACTATTTACACTTCACGAAATCTCTTTTTCAATTTCATGAACTCAACTTCAAAAAATTCACTATTTCAACTTATTGAATTCACGATTTCAACTTCACGAATTCATAAAGTTAAAATCGTGAATTCGTGAAGCTGAAATCGTGAATTTGTGATGTTGAAATCTTCTATTCTTAAGGTTTAATTCGTGAAGTTGAAATAGTTGAAATCGTGATTTCATTAAAGTAAAATAATGAATGATTTGAAGTTGAAATCGTGAATTCATGAAGCTGAAAATTCCGTATGAATTCACGAAGATGAAATCGGGAATTCACGAAGTTGATATGTTCCCAACGGTCCTTCGTAGTAAACAGTACATTATTCGAGAGAACATCGGAACTCTCCACAGTGTTCAGAATGAGTGCTGGCGGTATCAAATTAAAGCTAATACATCGCATTCATTAAAGCCAGTCTACAAAAATTGTTATGCGTGCTCCACTTCAAAATACGACTAAACTTTAACGAAAAATTATAATCGAAGAGAACAAATCGGTACAAAAAAAAATCGGAAAATATCATTTACTTTACTAAACACTACGAGGAATGGTCCGTTCCGTTTAAATCCTTAAAACTGTATAAATCGATTATTGTCTGAAAAGCGTTTTACTATTTCATGTTACGAAAAAATGTAACAGTGAACATTATAACTACAATATCACCATGCACTATTATATGACCGAGCGAACCGTGTACCAAAATTTTGCTGCTCTTTCAACTTTTGAACCGGTATGACTAAATTACGCAACGGAGATTTTTTGGCGCAAATGGCACAATTTTTTCTCAAGTTTGATTTTCTTCAAATATTGTGGTTGTAGGCATGCAGCTTTATATACTGTTTATTCAAATCAAATGATATAACATTTTTTATGTAAATATTTTGATTAACATACTTATGTCCTTTTTGGAAAATCTCTGTTGCAGAGTACTTACTTCAACATAAATCGAAAATTTGATAATTGAATTTTACACGAGAACTTTTATTTTGATACTACTTTTAATATAGCTCATTTATTCTAAAATTAGCTTGACAACATAAATTGTTTCCTTTGTATAAAAAATATCCCTAATGCACCAAGAATGTATATTTCTCCTGCATATAATCTTTCAAAACATAAAAAAATAAAGTGAAAAACAAACTTTCATTATGATACTATATTTAATATATATTATGAATTATATTTTGTTAAATCATTGTGAATTATAAACATTTATTGTGCCTTATATGCAAAACAATAATCTCCAAATATTTTCGAAATAAACAAATCTGCCACAGCTACAAAAAGACCTCTCGAATCTTCTTTATTAAGAAACAAACTTGTATATATATTTATTGCTATGGTTGTTGAAACGTCTATATGTTGACATTTATTCGGATTTGGATATAATTGTACATCAGTAAGCATTTTAAATTGATTATGATTGTCAGACAAATGTTCAATCATATTTTTACTATAACAGACTTTATGTCAACTATTTACATTCGTTATACATTATCAAAGAGTACACCTTTTTTGTTTACATCTATAACCACGGGGTATAACTACATTACTTTCAAATACGTATTAAGTCCGAGGTTACTTTGTTTAATAGCCGAGATGTTCCGAATGCAAATGAGGCTTAATATGCTAGTTTGTTTGACATAAAATTTTGACATAATATTTTGACATAAACTTTCAAAGACATCGTGACAACGTTTATTCATAGATCCACTTATAACCCTAACATACAGATATTTACTTCGTTTGAATATACGCATAGGAACAATATTTTATATTTTGTTTCTTTATACATTCTTGTGTACTTAGTGGCTTTTAAAAAAAATGGCCATGGGTTGGTTATCACAAAACAATAATAGTTTGAAGAATGAACCCTGAACCCTGCACAATCTGTTTTCCCACATTTAGAATGAGTTATCATAAACGACGGTTAATCTTAAAAAACAATGTATTGAGACTTAAGGGGATTCAAATTGAAATACAAAGTCTTTTTTACAAACCCAAGTGAGGCATTTAAATTGAGGAATTTGGGAGTCCACTTTCCATTATTTACTATTTTACAATCTGTGTTTAAACCATTACATACATCCAACACTGCATGTGCACAATCCACCATTCTCGTTAACGTCGGTGAGGTCCGGATGTTCACAGATGGGAGTGTTTGCTCCAGAACACGATGTAGAATTGTTACATTGATCATTTGTCGTACATGGCACACATTCTACGTTGGCGAACCAAACTAAAAGTAAAGTGAGAATCATTGATTACTTTTTAAAACTTTTTATTTTATACCTTTGAGTGGATTACTGATTTATCCGTGAAAATTATATTTGATAATTTCACAGTAAAAATTATCAAAATATAATTTCACACTTTTCAATGACGAAACTACTTTTTAAAGATTTTCTCCATGTGGTACCTCAATTTTATTTTTGCTGACAATTCTGACAATATCAGGCTGTTTAAAGAAAAGCAAAGCTGAAATTGATAAATAACTTAAATGTCAAAAGTAATAAAAAGAAGAAAACTTACTTCAATTCATTCAAATTCTAATCACCAAATTGCGTCTCTAATTTTTTAGTTTCATTTTTACAGTCTAAAAATACATTCCTTCCACATGCAAAACTGCTGTTGATGACATTTGGGTATATTAAAGTATCCTACGAGCAATAACTGCCGTATGTTTTTATAAAAACTTGAAAAGCAATGACAGCCATCACTCGAAGAATAATTAAACAACCCAGCGTTTCTGAGCCAGCCTTTGAAGTTTTCCATTTTCCTTGCTGCTTTTTGAATGATTTCACATCTGCCAACACTTATTTTTTGTCTGTTACAATCCTCAAATAAGTTTTCTTTCTTTTAAAAAGGTGTATGACTAACAAATCCAAATGATATCCCTATGAATCAAACACAATTATTTTCCTCCCGTAAAATACACAACTTTAAAAAATGGCTGCCGCTTAGCCAGGTCTTATATAAATTCGCAGTAAGTAACAGAATTATGGATGGATGGTTGGACTTTTTCTCCTACAAGAATTGTTTGTTTTTATTTTTTGCTTTTCAGTGGATTACTGATTTATCCGTGAAAATTATATTTGATAATTTCACAGTGAAAATTATCAAAATATAATTTCACACTTTTCAATGACGAAACTACTTTTTTAAGATTTTCCCCATGTGATATCTCAATTTTATTTTTGCTGACAATTCTGACAATGTCAGGCTGTGTAAAGAAAAGGCAAAGCTGAAATTGAGAAATCACTTTAATGTCAAAAGTAATAAAAAGAAGAAAACTTACTTCTATTCATTCAAATTCCAATCACCAAATTTCGTCTCTAAATTTTTTAGTTTCATTTTTACAGTCTGAAAAATCCATTCCTTCCCCATGCAAAACTGCTCTTGATGACATTTGGGTATATTAAAGTATCCTACGAGCAATAACTGCCGTATGCTTTATGAAAATTTGAAAAGCATTGACAGCCATCACTCGAAAAATAAGTAAAATAACCCAGCGTTCCATGAGCAAGCTTCCAAGTTTGTCATATTCCTAGCGCCTTTTTTGAATGTTTTCACATCTGTCAACACTTATTTTTTGTCTGTTACAATCCTCAAATAAGTTTTCTTTCTTTTAAATGGTGTATGACAAACAAATCCAAATTATATCCCTCTGAATCTTACACAATTATTTTCCTCCCATGAAATACACAACTTTAAAAAATGACTGCCGTTTACATTTTACAAAGCCAGGTCTAAAATAAATTCGCAGTAAGTAACAGAAATATGGATGGATGGTTGGACTTTTTCTCCTACAAGAATTGTTCGTTTTTATTATTAAAACAAGCGATCATTCATATTTTTTTAATAAAATGAATAAATATCACCGTCATTTAACGTTGATTGGCGGACTTATTTTTCAGCTCAAGACTTCTTGTTTTTAATGAGAAATTCCGACTAAATGGGGCTCTCAATGGGGAAAACAGATTTTAATATTAACGTTAAAATTATGGAAATTTCGTTTTTACTTGTTTTTAAGCATAAAATAAAAAGAACATTTGTTTGTTTGTTGTGTAAGATGTAATTTTATTTCATCTCGTGAACTTTAAAAACAGTATTCTCACTCGTGGCTATGCCACTCGTGAGAATACTGTTTTTAAAGCCCACTCGATAAAATAAAATTTCATCTTACACACAAACAAACAAATATCCTCTATTTATTATTAAAACAAGCGATCATTCATTTTTTTTAATAAAATGAATAACATCACCGTCATTTAACGTTGGTTGTCGAACTATTTTTCAGCTCAAGACTTCTTGTATTTAATGAGAAATTCCGACTAAATGGGGCTCTCAATGGGGAAAACAGATTTTAATATTGACGGTAATATTATGGAAATTTCGTTTTAACTTGTTTTTAAGCATAAAATGAAAAGAAAATTTGTTTGTTTGTTGTGTAAGATGTAATTCTATTTCATCTCGTGAACTTTAAAATCTTTTTATTACTTTTGACATTTAAGTTATTTATCGATTTCATCTTTGCTTTTTCTTTAACAGCCTGACATTGTTAGAATTGTCAGTAAAAATAAAATCGAGGTACCACATGGGGAAAATCTTAAAAAAGTAGTTTCGTCATTGAAAAGTGTGAAATTATATTTTGATAATTTTCACTGTGAAATTATCAAATATAATTTTCACGGATAAATTAGTAATTCACTGAAAAGCATAAAGTAAAATTAATTATTAAAAATACCATGCGAAGAAATAAATAATAATAATAATAAAAAAATAATAATAATAATAACAATAATAAAACTTACCCGTTAACATTACTGCAACAACGGCAAAAGCCGAAACTGACGACTTCATTTTGATATCTTTACTTCAACACCGTCACTTATTCAATGAAAATAACATGAACATTACGATTTTTAAAATAGAAGATATTGTCCTTTGACATTTTATTGTCTAACGACGTAACTATCTGTACTTAACGACATCTGAATGTATACCCTAACAAAAGCACACACATAAATTAGGTTATTACGCTACAGGTTGGAAATATTTTCATCTCCCAGATATTTAAAAATACATGTACTATTTACTTCACATAATACCAGACCATTTGAAACACCAAAAGGGTAAATCGGCATTTATACAGGTTTTATTCAAATAAAGTCATCCTTTCACACAGAAACATTTGGGTACGGTTGTACTACAATAACCCACAGGTGGCAGTATCAGTGTTTGGACACCGCCACCCCTTTCTGCCCCTGAACCCCTACTACAACCCTGAAAAAAGAAATTCAACACACTAAGGCTAACTGTAAGGTATCAAATACAAAACCACCGATAAAATTATTTATAAATTTTTTTTTCCACTATCAAAATTATAGTTACAGAAAGCTGAAAAGCCTACTATATGTTCATTTGCCAAAGAATGTGGAACACGGGAAATCGTCGTTTCAGCGACTGGGGCGCATTCCGGCGGCATTTCGCTGCATCATTCATTAACATCAAAAAAAAGAACTAGAATTCCACAGCTTACCTAATTCAAGTCCAACGTATATCAATATTCTATCGCTTTTTTTCTGTTTCACGGTAAATTTGACTTGTCGCTGCCATTTTGGATTCTGATACCTGTGTGATATACGCGATCTGATTGGACGTCCAATTTGGCTCGTCCAATCAGATTGCGTATTATAACCAAGGTATCAGACTGCAAAATGGCTACGACAAGTCAAAAAATACCGTGAAACAGAAAAAAATCGGAATGATTTTGATATTTGTTGGACTTGTATTAGGTAAGCTGCGGAATTCTATTTCTTTTTATTGATGTTAATGAATGATGCAGCGAAATGCCGCCGGAATGCGCCCCAGTCGCCGAAACGACGATTTCCCGTGTTCCACATTCTTTGGCAAATGAACATATTGTAGGCTTTTCACCTTTCTGTAACTATAATTTTGATAGTGGATATTTTTTTTTTTTATAAATAATTTTATCGGTGGTTTTGTATTTGATACCTTACAGTTAGCCTTAGTGTGTTGAATTTCTTTTTTCAGGGTTGTAGTAGGAGTTCAGGGGCAGAAAGGGGTGGGATGTCCAAACACTGATACTGCCACCTGTGCAATAACCGAGATCACATTTGCGACCTCTTGTGGTACATCTATAAAAATCAGAATACAATTATAATCAGGGATCAAATGTGCGACCTATGGTGGAAGAATTATTTTTTATATCATGTCAGGGGTTACATGTGCGATAAACTTAGAACTAATTGCAAACTTTTTATCAACACCTCACGAAAGAACTTAATCTAAAGTGCTTAGCATAAAAAGTCCCTAAATTTTTGCGTTTGCATTTAAAAAGATAAAAGCGGTTTTCTACAGTGATTTTTTCCATTTTAAAACAATCCGATTACTCTACCGCACCTGTAGATTTCACGCGCATTGTTTGTAACGCCACGGAAAATAAACCTTTATGAGACTTTATGTGATTGTAGCATTTAATAACACTTCCAGATACCTTGATGTCATTTTTAATTTAGGTAATTCTTATTTTGATCAAATGATGTCTGATATTTATCCCCATGAACTTCTACTTAATAAAACGAACAGTTGAAATTTTAGTACATCATTTTTGGATGTCAACAACAATTCTATTCACACAAAAAAATTTATGATAAAAGAGATGAATTTGACTTTCGTATAGTTAATTATCCACATTTAGACGGAGACGTACCCCATGCAACATCTTACGGGGTATATGTTTCTCAGCTAATATGATTCGCTAGAGCGTGTAGTAACGCAAGGATTTCAACGAGCGGAATATTTTCATTACCAGCAGGGCTACCGCTATCATAAATTACGTAAATGTTTTATTTAATTTCAAAATTTAACAGTGATTTAAAACACTTCTGCGACAATGGATTATCCAGCCTGGTTTTATGGCGATGTGATTTACAAACTTCGTAAGATTTTGGGTCAAAGTATTTTTCCGCTGTTTTAACTAAAATCATTAAACGTTTTATTAAAAGACCCTACTTTTTTTAACACATACTGCATGCTTAGTGTTCATCCCCATTACAGCTGGACTCTACGGTTTCCTCTTTTGATTACATCAGACGGACCAAGTGGGAGACTCTATGATGGACAATTCTTAAAGCCCGTTTGGACTGACAGTCTTTTGTCTTACTTAATCTGGCCCTTGTAGCTGATTTTCTTGTTGCTCTTCTTCCTTTAAGACATTGAGTACTTTTGTTATGGTCGATGGGTTTTCTTTTATATGTTTCTACATGATTATTTATTTAACTTTTTGTAACCATAACAACTGTTAAAATTTCACTTGGCGGGGATTCATTTTATTTTACACTGTCTCGTTTATAGGAACATGGTGGGACTAAGAGTGGGGTTTGTTGCACCATTAACCGGGTTAAACTCCCCAGTAGTACTTATGCTGCTGACCATTCCAAGGGGGTGCCCGTCTGTGTTCCTCTGATGTATGTCTTGTTGTTTCATAAAGTTTTGGTGACACTTTTGTTTGTGTCCCTTGTTGTTTTCTCGTCTACGGTAAGTATCTTCCCTTTTTTTGTTTCTTTATTTCGCCCCCTCCCCGAATTTCCTATACCCCTTCCCCTGTGCCCTCTTGCTTAATGGGCCTATTAATCAATCATTTATTTGTTTTCTTTTATTTTGATTTCCTTATCGGTTACTAGATTTATATATGTCTGGGGTCCTCCTGGGGTCCTTGCCGCTGGTTCTTGTTCCTAGGTCGTGTGTGGGTTGCGTTCATTGAACACCGCCTTTCCTTGTTAATCTTGTTTATCAAATTGTATGGCGGCACCCATATTGAATCTATAATCTATAACGGCTGCAAACAATCTGCGTTTTGGAGTTTCTGAACAGTTTGAGGTAAAGTACAATGTTTCCTTTTTTTCTCAAAATCTAGGAACATTTTTTAAGGTTTAAATTAACTTAATATTTTTTCATATGTTTATATCACAGATCTTTCGACGATAACGCTTAAACAATAAAGAAATCGGCGACTATTCCATGCTTGCGTCATTGTAAAAAGTACATGTAATACTAATTATAAAAAAGCTTTGAAAATACATGCAAATATACACCTAGACGTATATTCTTTATTTTGCGTTTCGTCATTTCTTTTTTATTTATACGAAACAAATAGAATGAATTAATATTTGTTATTTCGGTTGTGGACGATTTTATTCTACGGGAGCAAATACGGAACATAAATCTAACATTTGATTTATTATTTTTACTACTCTATTTTGATTTATTTTTCGCTTTAAATAAAGTTTTACCTTTGTGTGAACACAAGTAAAATAAAGAATTCACCGTGTACATCCAGTAACGCCGGAATGTGAAAATAACGCACGATTCGTGCAATAAGTAACGCAGAATTGTGCAATAAATGGCGGATACCGTACAGGATTTCAACGCGGTAAGTAAACTGGCCAAAATATTTTTTTTTAACCGAACTGAAAATAATCAATAGCCGCATACGGCTGCGAAGACATAACTCTTCATCCCTCATCAAGATTATTTCCACGACATTGTTTACATTTCGAGACCATTCGTGAAAATGATGGCTTGACCACCGTTTTGAGCGAAATTTTGGCTTTTTGTCGGCTCTTATAAGTACAACAATGCAGTGCATTCATTTGGCGTAATGTACGATTTTTTGAGAGTGCCTTTTTTGCCGACACAAATATTATACAGTCATGTACATTCAAAAGAATTGCTACTTTTATGCACATTTTTTTTGTGGAAAATTAAATAGATTTATATTATTGTTTTTCTTTGTCTCAGTAAAACTTAAAACACAATAATATCTATTCAACCAGTATCTTGCAATTAATTATTACGCAGCCGTTTTTTTTCAAAACTACAGAATTCTTACATTTTTGAAACTCAAAATATCTCTCGGGTACTGTGTATTAGCAGAGACATAGATATATTATCTACATCTCTGGTTTTTACCAAGTTAGTATGATTTAACTGTCTGGTAAAACACGGCGCGACAATTTAATTTTCATTATTAAGAATAAAACAAAAATAGTTGCCATGATCAATTACCCAGCCATATGGTCTAGTATTGAAACAAATCGTTAACCTTATCATGGTAAACATTTTTATTCATCTTTTTTATGTAATATCGCATTCAATTTCACAATATTTTGGCAATTTCAATCTGCCCATATTACAAAAGTAAGGATTAAGATCGTTATATTCCTCTGTTAATGTACTTAATCGTATCGGCAAATGTCCGCCGTATCTCCCAATGACGTCATCCAAGGGTGACAACTTGAATCCAGTCTTAAATGAAAGGGTCTATAGGGTGGTGTGAGGCAGCACACGGAGCGTCATGCCAGCCGTTAAATACGTCAGTCCTGCTTGCAAACACGGCACAGTCTTCGTCACCCTCGCTTCCTGGTTGCCCGGGATACCTAAAAATTGCCTCGGATGATTGAACATTTAAAACAGAATGAATTTGAGATAAATGTATGTTCATATATCCCAGATAAAATATTTATAGGCCACAACCCACTGACTGTATGTGTATTTGAATGTACGAGAGATATAAATTACGACTGCAAAGAGGTACAATAGTACAGATGGCACACCGGAATTTTTCGGACGAAGTCCGTCTGTTATCAGTTTGACTTCCTGTAAAATTAACAGGGAAGGACTGTATATAAAAAGAATTTTTATTGGTCATTTCAAAATTTCAAACTGAAATCGATAAATCTCATTGGTCATTCTAAAATAAAATGTAATGGACAGTTCTAACCATTATAAAATAAAATGCTAAGGATAGTTCTGGCCATTCTAAAACAAAATTTTTAAGATAGCTCTAAGATAAAATGTAAAGGATAGTTTTGCCACTATGAACTAGTACTTAAATAAAATGTACAGGAAAGAGAATAGTTCTTTAACTTTTAGGTTTATTTTTAAATGATTACAAATTTTATAAAGTCAAACATAGAACAAGTAAAGGGGACATCCTAAAGTCTTACTTTGAAAAATCATTACTATCAATATACTATAATTTAATTTCAATGCTTTTAAAATGGGTATTTTCTTTGCTACAAGAAATAATTATTATGTCATTGTTATGCAAGCATTGCTAAAAGAATATACTTCAAACTTAAAAAAAACATAACTTAGCATGTTAACCAGTATTACTTCGGCCGAGTATCTTTTTGAAAGATACTCCTTGTTTATCATGTGTGACGTTTTAAGTGCGCATCTATTAGTTTTAACATATTTTATTCATAATCATACACAGTACATAATAATTATACATTCATTCAATATATACAATGTTGAAATGGATTAGAACGAAATATATGAAATCTTATATAATTCTAATCCGAAACTATTACTTTTACGCAAGTATTACTTTCATACGTGATGAATTACAAAAAGATGTCCCCTTTCCGCCAAAGAAATATTATATTATAATGTTAATAATCAAGTGTTTTCATAATGACATTGTTATTGGGCTGAAGACTGTCATATTAGCCTGAGGCCAAAGGGGAAATTAATGGATTTCTTATATGTAATAAAGGAAAATATAACATACCATCCTGTAAAATTAAGAGGTTTATCTCCCTTGTACCACACCCATAAACCCTCGATCATCTCGTCATTAGCACATTTCCAAAACTCTTGATCTGAGTGCTGTGAAGCTTAATGAATATGGCTTATGAGTTAAAAAATATCCAGTTTTTTAACATTATGGATTTACAAACACTTCAAAAATTAAGGACTATAAATACATAATTGTTGTCCTTGAGAATATTTATCTGAATCATACAAAATGTCTACGGTTTACATAACAAGTACATGTATAGAAATCTAAGAAGGTATTGATCCATATGGAGGGAAATCGAAGACTACCAGTGTTCTTTTGTGATTTTTTAAAACTTTTTTTAGAACAGGCAGTTCGAGGTACAAGTCCCGAGAAAAACAAGGGGTCATAATTTAAAAAATGAAAACACATTTCTAGACAATTTAGCACACACATTTTGAATATAGACGAATACTACTTACGTGTTCTATACATTCGTTCAAGTAAACTTCTGATAAAAAGATTTTCATCCTTACTTTCAATCATTACTAAATCAGCTCCATGTTGTTGGCAATGATGCTTAAAGGATACATTGAAATATTTGCATGATATTTGCATTATGATATTAAAAGACGACTGCAAAGGGGGCAGTGCTTATTCAATAGAATAATGGGAAGGCGACAGTACGTGCTTCATTTGACATGACGGAACTGGGAATATTTTCCCAAGATTTATACACCATTTAATGTAGATGTGAAACAATAATTTGTGTGCAAAGTTTCAGGTCATTTCCTCACCCCATTTTTTCCAGAATAATCATTTTTATTGCGCAAAATAATCAAAAAATGAAAAACATTTTTCAATCAAATCCGGTAACACTTGCATAAAAAACGTTTTAGTTCAATTCTGAGTGTATTTCACAGATTCTAAGACTTGATCTTTGGAAGATTTTTAAATAAATGTTTTAGGACTTTAGACCTCAGTGTAGTTTCTATTATGCAAATGCACTCGTAATGCATAAATGCAAAGGCAGTGGCTTAGTGGAAGTTTGCAGTGCTTGTTTTGCGTTCAAGCTTTTTTCATGAATTAAAGCAGAGTAGTTATTTCGTTATTGCAAGAGCGCAATGCTCATTTTAAGTAAATTGGTCTAGAGTGGAAAGTCTTTATTACAATTAATAATGACTTTGATAGTATTAAGCGTCAACCTTAACAATAAATCACTAAAGATCTATATATGGATGTTGATACATGATTACATGATCCGATATAACTTACATTTCTATAGCAGATAATAAAAAATTCTAGGACAAAATAATTGTATTCATCATATTTATGAACGATCATACTAAATCTATTAGAACTTTATCAGAATTTGTTTCAAGCATTATGTTATAAGAACATCCGAATTATATAGAGGATATTTGTTTGTTTGCATGTAAGATTGAAATATAATTTCACTGAGTGAACACCAGATGCAATATTTTCACGAGTGGCGTAGCCACGAGTGAAAATATAATAGCTGGTGTTCACGAATGAAATATATTTCAATCTTATATGTAAAACAAATAAATTTTCTTTTTATTTCACGCTTTTTAAGTGATATTGAGTATTTTCTACTGATTTTGCCGCGTAACGTCGCGCATTCTCCTTTGTGACGTCGTCACATCATGACGTCACATCATCAATTTCGAAATATAGTTCTGTTAAATTTCTCTAATTCTGTTACATTTTAACATGATGTATGGTGACATCGACTTTCTTTTCCTATAGAAGCAAATTTTACGCATGACAGCATTTATCTCTGCTTGTTATTCCATTTAGTTATGATTCTCTTTTCATTCGCATTCAGATATAGTCCGGCTACAGTGAAAATTATATTTTATAAATTTCACTAGTGGTTTATCAGAAAATAATCATCTGATATATTACAATAAAACACTGGAAAGCATGAAATAAACATTTATATTGTGTTTATTACTATTCTTAATAATTATAGAAAATGTGCCAATTGTAGACCATTCCCCTTTAATGAGTAACAAGAGCGATCAGTAATCACATGTGTCTCCTCATGATGGCCAATTTCATGTTGGGACAAATTTTGTGACAGACGGACAGACAGACGGACAGTGCACAACTAGACTTGGTACTGATCATTCCTGTAAAGTTTGGATAAAATTGCACCAGTAGTTTATGAGGAGTAGTCCGGACAAGCTTTTGTGTATCTGGCAACACACAGAAAAAAAACACCTTTTAATCAAAGGGCCATAACTCGGCCAAAAATCATTCAACCAAAAAACCCGTGCAATATGCGCAAGGACTTGAGCTACAGATCAATCCTGTAAAGTTTCATTGAAATTGCATTAGTGGTATAAGAGAAGTATTCCGGACAAACTTTAAAAATAAAAATTATTAAAGGGTCATAACTCTGACAAAAATCATTGAACCAGAAAATGCTGATAATATGCACAACAAGACTTGGTACTGGTCATTCATGTAAAGTTTGGATAAAATTGCACCAGTAGTTGATGAGGAGTAGTCCGGACAAGCTTTTGTGTATCTGGCACCACACAGAAAAAAACACCTTTTTATCAAAGGGCCATAACTCGGCCAAAAATCATTCAACAGGAAAACCCGTGCAATATGCGCAAGGACTTGAGCTACAGATCAATCCTGTAAAGTTTCATTGAAATTGCATTAGTGGTATAAGAGAAGTAGTCCGGACAAACTTTAAAATTAAAAAAATATTAAAGGGCCATAACTCTGACAAAAATCATTGAACCGGAAAATGCTGACAATATGTACAACTAGACTTGGTACTGATCATTCCTGTAAAGTTTAGATGAAATTGCACCAGTAGTTTATGAGGAGTAGTCCGGACAAGTTTTGTGACGGACGGACGGACTGACGTTCTCACAGGACAGTAATAATGTGGCTACTCTATTGTTCTCTCTATTGTTCTTTTAAGCCACACTAAAGAAAATAGCCACATAAAAGCATTACGGAATGAATGACATCAAAGAGAAAGAACAGTTACCTATTGTCCCTCTAGCCACATAATTACTCTACTGTGAGTGCGGACAGACGGACGGACGGACGGACAGACAGACAGACTTCAAGACGACAGGCAGTGCCTGCCTTGACGGCAGGTTATGCCTACTTTTTGGTAGGCGTTTGTAGGCGTTGGTTTAAACATATTTATCAAGTTACAAAACTACACAAGATACAGAAAATGTATATGTAAAGTGGATTGAATGGAGAAAAAGCTTATTGTTATTCTTTATTTTCATAGCTAGACTGCGGTACAGCTTTTAGCGATACAGATGATATAGGAATTTGCTACAGACAAGATTAAATATGTTAACATTATTATAAGAAAATAAGACCGTCTGTTTCGTCTTTTGTTGTTGTTGTTTTTTTTTTTTTAATTCCAAAATACATGTAATATTCGATATCAGATTTTACTTTGAAAGTATATTTTGAAACTCCGCTTCAGCGTAACATTTATCAACTCAAACATGTATTAAACATGTTCCACATTTGATATGAACCCGTTAAAGCTGATCTACGAAATATGTAGACATATTAATTAAACATATACTAAACATATGCATAATTTGAATTTAATGCTTTAACGATAATGAAATGTGTGTTTGTAATGTTTTTTTTGATATTAGGTTTTCCTAACATATGGATGGGGGCTCGTGATTTTCGTGCAAAAATCGTCAGTAAATTAAGACAGTGACCAAACTAATCTATATAAGATTACAATGCTATTTTCTGATTAAGTCTTAAATAATCCTTTTTCATCGTATTTCATACTATCGTATAAAAACAATACTATATTATTCTATTTTGTAAGTCGATAAACATGAAATAGCACAGATAATTTTGTAAACTTTCATTCACAACGAAATTCAGTTTAAAAAATTATGTTTATCAATAAAAAATATATTAAAGAATCCCGTTTATTGCACTTAATAATAAAGGATAAATTCTATTTATTTCCGTAGTATGCCATCATCAGGTCTGTTTGATCCGAAATCCATAAATTACCGAATGTATATCAATTAATTACCATAATCATCGTATAGATTAAGTCTTATCAATAAATCTGCATGCCTACCGACAGACATCCTGTAAACAAACGAATCGCAAAGAGGGTTGATAAAGGGCATCATAGATGGAAATGCAATTTAAAATGCTCTTGTCTGTTATTTCGGTGAGATTTTATATGTACATAAAGTTAGTTCCCTATTCCTTATTCCTTATTCCTTTTTCGAATAAGGAATAAGGAATCAGTTCCTTATTCCTTTTTCGAATAAGGAATAGGGAACTAGTTCCTGATTCCTTATTCAAATCTAAATAAGGAAAAGCAGAATTAGTATTTATTTAAAATAAAATTTATACCTCATTCAAATCATTGCATAAAGAATCTGCATAAATTATTTTGAAAAAAAATCGAAGAAGGAATAGGGAACCAGTTCCTTATTCCTTATTCAACTCCGAATAAGGAACAGATGGTAATACGTAAAGAAAAGACACCAGTTGCAATTATTTTTGAAAAATCTGCATTAGAATTGCCAGGATCGATCATAAAAATCATGAAAAAAAAAGCATCTGCATAAAAATAGTTCTGAAAAAATGTTAAAGTCGAATAAGGAATAAGGAACCAGTTCCTTATTCCTTATTCAACTCCGAATAAGGAACAGAAGAAAATATGTAAAGAAAGACAGCAGTTGCAGTTATTTTTTATCAATCTGCATAAGGATGGCAAGGATCAATCATTAAAATCATGAAATAAAGCATCTACATAATTTTTTTGTTTTTCAAACGTTAAAGTCGAATAAAGAATAGGGAACCAGTTCCATATTCCTTATTCAACTCCAAATAAGGAACAGAAGAAAATACGTAAAGAAAGACACCAGTTGCAGTTATTTTTGATAAATCTGCATAAGAATTGCAAGGATCAATCATTAAAATCATGAAATAAAACATTTACATAATTTCTTTTTGAAAAAAAAATTAAAGTCGAATAAGGAATAGGGAACCAGTTCCCTATTCCTAATTCAACTCCGAATAAGGAACAGAATGAAATACGTAAAGAAAGACAGCAGTTGCATTTATTTTTGATAAATATGCATAAGAATTGCAAGAATCAATCATTAAAATCATGAAATAAAGCATCTGCATGAAAAATATTTTGGAAAAAAAAATGTTCAGGTTCATTCGATTTCGAATAAGGAACAGAAGTAATTACGTAAAGAAAGACAGCAGTTGCAGTTGTTTTTGATAAATCTGCATAAGAATTCCAAGGATCAATCATTAAAATCATAAAATTAAGCATCTACATATTTTTTTTGAAAAAAATGTTAAAGTCGAATAAGGAATAAGGAACCAGTTCCTTATTCCTTATTCAACTCCGAATAAGGAACAGAAGGAAATACGTAAAGAAAGACACCAGTTGCAGTTATTTTTGATAAATCTGCATAAGAATTGCAAGAATCAATCATTAAAATCATGAAATAAAGCATCTGCATGAAAAATATTTTGGAAAAAAAAATGTTCAGGTTCATTCGATTCCGAATAAGGAACAGAAGTAATTACGTAAAGAAAGACAGCAGTTGCAGTTATTTTTGATAAATCTGCATAAGAATTCCAAGGATCAATCATTAAAATCATGAAATAAAGCATCTACATATTTTTTTTGAAAAAAATGTTAAAGTTGAATAAGGAATAGGGAACCAGTTCCTTATTTCTTATTCAACTCCGAATAAGGAACAGAAGTTATTACGTAAAGAAAGACACCAGTTGCAGTTATTTTTTATAAATCTGCATTAGAATTGCAAAGATCAATCATAAAAATCATGAAATAAAACACCTGCATAAAAAGTATTTTGGAAATAGGTTCATTCATTAAAATCATGAAATAAAGCATCTACATAATTTTTTTGAAAAAATGTTAAAGTTGAATAAGGAATAGGGAACCAGTTCCTTATTTCTTATTCAACTCCGAATAAGGAACAGAAGTTATTACGTAAAGAAAGACACCAGTTGCAGTTATTTTTTATAAATCTGCATTAGAATTGCAAAGATCAATCATAAAAATCATGAAATAAAACACCTGCATAAAAAGTATTTTGGAAATAGGTTCATTCATTAAAATCATGAAATAAAGCATCTACATAATTTTTTTTGAAAAAAAAATGTTA